TGTCTCGCAGATAACACAGATAATACGGATAATACATATGAAAAGTATAATTTGCTCAGAGTCCAGAGACAGTTGTGGTTCGGTCCGGATCCCGACCGGAGTCCGGACTTTGAGGATGCCTGACGTAGTGCATTCTTGTTTAGCACTGCCTGCTTTGAATGATGCATTCCTGTCCGTAACCTGCTTTTAACTGACTTCATTAAACCTGGATGAGTCACACAGTAATACTGCTATGAGCCAATGTGCATAGTCACCCTTATTCAAGAGAGGAACACGGTAAAAACATGGCCTTGTTTTTGACGTACCATCCAAGGGCACGTGATGGATGTCTGTCAGAGCAAGGGAGAGCTGCAGAGATGGAGGAAACTCTTTAGCACTTTGTTGTAGGGCTGCATAATCACACATTCTTGGCTCTGTTGCACTCTGCCTTTCCTGTCAGCATGCTTTGAGACACATGTGTGCGTGTTCCAAAAGCAGATTGAATTTCTCTTTTGTCACACTGTGTGTGTGAACTAAACACTTGGTAACACAGCGCCGCTGCCTTGTATGGTTAGAGGAATGGAAGGCTGTGTGTGTGTAAAGGACTGCTGCCTGATTCACCATCCCATTTTTAACTTAAATTGGTTTTAGGATTCTTCATAGGAGACTTGTAAAGTTTAATGGTTTGTGGAGTGGTGGTGGTGGTAGAAGACGGGAATCAGAGTTTAGTTTCCCTGCATCTGATCAACTGTTCCAAGACTGAAGCTTGAGCCCTGAGTAAGGAAAGTCCCTTCCTTTCCAAAACACCGCCACAGTGTTGCGTACATGTCCAGAAAACACACATACTAAGCAAATGCAGATGGGCTTCATAGCTCCTTTGTAGTCATTTGTCATATTCCCCCTTGCATACAATATCTGCCAAACACTCCCTGTCCCCATGGTGAAGTTCACCAGACCAGCCTTGTTTGTTTAAAATGTCTAAAGGTGTGGCTCTTAAGGAACGTTGAGATGATGAATAAAGTGTGTCTGTGGTATTGGAAGTGGCGGGCTGCTGGATTCCAAGGTTTCTTTTTTGTCTGCATGTACATTTGTGCAAATGGCCTTTTCACATGATGCACACTTTCATCCTACACATGCTTTGCTCACACTTCTTAAACACTGCCCCATCTTATTTACACACACACACATTCATTAGACCCCATGACCCTTTCACTCCCTACTCTTACACACACTGACACACACGTCCAGCTGTCACTGTAGCCCTGAGGAGTCATGAGGAAGTCAGCAGAGCTGGAATGTGGATGGGTCAGATGTGCGCTTGATACCGCTGCTGCTTTCAGGCATTCACTTTCTGCCATTAATCCTCTTGGAGCAGCAGATGCTGCATGACTCGGGTCTTAAAGTAGAAACTCAACATCAGGCAACTGAAGAGGCTAAGTTAGATGGCTGCATCTAAAAGAACGTGTCATCAGAAAATAATTCCTTGATGGACGAGTAATCGTTTTGATGAATAGATCCTCAAAGTATCATGATTACAATATTTACTGTTATAGTTGTAGATTATTATATTTCATTGCATGGGTCGAATATGGTTAAAAAATGAATTGCAAGTCATATATAAAAAAAAAAAAAAAATCTAAGGCACAATCTATGGGTTGCGCAACTTGAATGCCTTTTTTTTATTTTACATGGGAATATGTTTTTTAAATTACCAATACATTTGTGTTCAAAGTTTTGGTGGTAATCTAAAGTGATTCTGATTCAGCTGCAACACTGGAGGGCACCATAAGGAAAGAACATGATAACTTAAGATGGCTGCTGTTTGTTCCTAGATTTCCCTCACTACTTGCGTTTTGACACTCAATCAATCTTTTACAGTTGTAATGTGTAATATCTCTTTGCTGTTTTACAACACTATGTCTGTGGTAAATCTACAGATGACATTAAGCCCCAGCATCAGTATCCACAGCCCCCCCCCCCCCCCCCCACCACCTCCAGCAGTCTGCTCAATGCATTCCAAGCCCCTGCCATCCTCTCACAGCTAAATCCCCCTCTGCTTGTATTAGACATGGTATTAAAAATGACCCATTTTGTCAGGCACCACTTGTAATGTCTGGACGAGTACAGCCAGAGACTGAGAGATGGGGAAGGGCAGATGTAATTAAACCGCCTCGAGACAGAGGTCAGGAGTTGGATTTTAATGATAACAAAGACCATCAATCTTTATTACAACAAGTGGAATGTAAGTGGCATCTATGTATTTTCTGTGTCTAGACGGACCCCCTCTAACGAGCTTACAAAGTGATGGCTGCGTTTATACACTCTTCTCCCGCCTGGACTCAACTGCTGCAGCCTTTTCAGCCTTTGGGTCTTTGTCTGCATCAACACAATACTTGCAACACATTGTTATTGTCACAAGGGGTATTAGGCTAATTGTCATATTATCCATGTGGCACTAGATGGAGAGCTTGCTGCAGCCTGAATATGGTTTAAATCTTCATTGAACTAGGATGTATTATGCAAATTAGAACCGAGAGAATGGCAAACGATAGAGATTTTCTTTATTTTCAATCAAAATGCACGAGGCTCTTCATCTTGACCAATAATGTTTTTAACATACAGGAGTGCTCTGATTTAACATTTTCTCAGCTAGGTGTGAAACACTTGGGGCATCCCAAAATGCTGGATATTATTCTTTAAACAGCAAGTGTGGTCTGATGGAACACAAGCACCAGTTCTGCAGAGCAGTCTGACTCTCATTTAGTAAAACATCCCTTATCTGTAGATGGGATTTTAATGATCCATTCACTTGCCCTCGGTGCTGCGTCACACGGTGTCAGCTGGTTAGACATGCTGCCTTTACTTGCCCAGAAGGGGGTCATCACATGAGGGATGTGATGCTATCTGCTAAGCCCCTGGTATTGGTTGCTGGACTGGAAAACCATGTTAGGCTCTTCAGTGTCGGTCAAATGCCGTTTGGATCATATCCTTCTTAAATAATAAACTGGCTTTTTATTGACAAGGTGTCCCTTCGAGTTTCTGGAAAAAGAAAATCTGACTAGATGTAAAAACATTTTACGCGAATGTAATGTACCAACTCATTAAGATTGAAATCTAGCAGGACAAGTGAGGAGCCACATCCCTAACCTTTTCCATGTTCCCAATTTGCTAATTGCTTCCCAACCTTCCCGTTAATATGAATGGAGTGATGACATGGGATTGAATATGTGTAACACTGTCACAAAAGCTCTGAACATTATCTAATTGACTCAAAGCTTCACATTTTGTGTTGGTAGAGAGGTTACTGTGCTTCACTCGGCTTCCTTTCTGTGTGAGATTCGTATACAGAGACCGGAGTACAACAGAAGAGAGCAGCAGGAAACAATTCTAGACTTGCACCAAGTGGTAACTTTTCCATGGCTGCACGAAAGGGAAGGAAAGTTTGAGTTTAGGGGGATTTCAGTTACTGTGTGTGGAGTCAGGAGGTGCATTCAGTGCTTATCAGCAATAATTCTTTCTCAAGTGGTCAATACATGCACTTCTCTTTTGATTGATGAGTCATTATAGTTACCCACTGTACCTAGAGTTAAACGTACAGAGACCTCTCATGTTAACGTATAACTAGCGGTGAAACAAACGTTCTGACCTTTGGACTTCTTTAAAAGAATGCTTTCTAAAATGTCTTTGGGAAATGCTTTGTTGGAGATAAATAAAACGGATCCTTTTTCCTTGAGGCAATTTGTGTATAGATTCACTGAGGCTGTATAAATGCACTCAGTATCTCATGTCTGTGGAAAAGGTTACTCATTGGAACTTTTTCCAAGATGTTTTTAGTCATCTGCCTAATGGCTTGAAAATATAACGTATATCGTCTACGGCCACGACCTTCTTATTCGTTTGCTCCGTTAGGGCTGAGTCGGCTTTCTCTCTGAATTGCTGTCATGGTTTTTTCAGTATCATGACTCTTGCATGGTAGGAAAAACCTATTTTGTTTTACTCTCACTTCCTTTTGTTCTGGTCCATTACTCTGTCATGTTCGATTATTTATTTTCTCTTTAACTATCCCACTCACTCTGTTTTGATTTCCTCCTCAATCCATCTCTTACGCCTCCGTTTCTTTGCCATTCAGAGCTTTTACTGGCTAGACCATATGTGTAGCCATTTCCTGGAAACAAATCTTTTGGCAGTGGGAGGAGGGGAGGAACAAGTGGCTATAGGGAAGAAGAGAGGTAATCAGGAGGGGGTGGGGGAGAAGCTTCTGTGGTCAGAGGTTAAGGAATAGAGAGTAGTGGATGAGGTAATGATTGAGGGGGAAATAAACTCAAAATGAATCTGGGAAGAGCTCTGTCCGGCAAGACAAAGGTTGACTGAAGTTAATGAGTTCAGGTCCTATATGCATCTACTCGCTCTAAATCTTGCCATCAGTTTTCTCTACTCTACAATAACTTCAATTTTTCTTTAGTACTGTCAATTAAGGAATCTCCAAGCACATAACACTTGGTGAAGCGAGCACAGCCCGATGTGACGGTTACGAACTGCATCTGCTTAACGGGGAGAGAAACAATGGCTGACCAGTGGGCCATTTAGTGCTCTGCCTCCTCCCCTCACCCTCTGTGGGCTGTGTGTCATGTCAGGAGCCCCCTCTTGGCTTTCAGCAGTCCAAACCACAGTTTTTTTTCCTTTTTTAATTCAAGATGCTGGAAACCATTAGGAGCAGTTTCTTTTTCTGCCCCATAAATGTTCAGCTTAACAATCCAGTTCCTTGTATTTTGATACTGATTCCTCATTTTATTTATTAACCTCAGGCATTGTGATGCATTATGACGGTGGTAGTTCTCTTAGATGTGCAGCATATTCACTTTTAGAGTGTTTTTTTTTGTCTCGCTGCTCACTTCCTGTTTTTTAAACTCTCCCAACTCCTTGGTTGCCCTTAGCCATACATGGCACTTCCTTTGGCTGACAGTAATATGTTTATTATTTGAGTGAACATGGTTGTGATATGTCTTGTTTTTCTTCAACAGGATATCCCAGTGTGAGAGAAAGTGACCAATCAAAAAGTGTGTGGGCCCCTGGACTTTGTAAGCAGCAACCCCAGCGTCCACACCTTCTTTTTTTTTTTAGGAGGGGGGAGAAATGAAACCGGATGGGGATACTATGGAGACCACGGAGCCCACTGAAGATGCAGCAGTAGCAGAGCCCTCCTCATTGCAGGACAACACAACCGAGGAAGCCCCATCGCAACCAGAGGAAGCGGCCATTGATGTAGCCCCTGAGACCATTCCCAAGGGCAATGGCAAGCCAGTGGCAGCAGACTCCAAAGTCAAACCAAAAGGTGTTTCAACCAAAACACAGCCCGCAGCCAAATCTGCAGGACCCTCTGGATCAAGGCCGGGCACTTCCTCGCACCGCACTGTGAACGACGGCAAGTCCTCTGCGAATGTCTCTGCAGCTGCAGCCAAGAAAACGGCAACTACAACAAAAGCAGCAGCAGCATCAGCAGCAGGGGGCGTACCTAAACGACCTGTGGGGGCAGCAGCTTCCTCCACGGTCAAGACCCTATCTAGAGCCCCAGACAAGAAGCCTGTAGGACCAGCTAAGGCTTCCTCCGCTGCTGCGTCCACAGCAACAAATGGCACCAAACCAACCACCGTGAATGGCGTTCCTAAGAAGAGACCAGCAGCTGAGACTGTAGCGAGACCCAAGACCACAGGTTAGTCTGACTGACATACGGACAACTGAAATCAAATGAATAATACTTGTCTCCCACGCCTCCACGGCGAATGAAGAATCCAAAAATGAATTAACGGCTTGATGGCTGCGTTTATTAACTCTCACAAAACTCATTAAAAAAACCTTTTTAACATTATAATACTTTGCAATTAACATTACTGGCAAGGGTGAGACTCTTTTACTAGAGTTCCTCAATCATTTGGTCAGATTATTGAGTTTCTTTTCAAGAAGTCAAGGTAACACTAGGTGATTTATTGATATACAAAAGATCATTCCTGGGGGTGTAGTATTCTTTACAAATATTTTCTACAGCTTTCTCTGCAAACTCATGTTGTGTTCTTCCATGTTTTTTGTAGCTCCTGCCAGCAGAGCAGCAGCCTCCTCTGCCTCAAAACCCAGCACTTCAACCACGTCAAAAGCTGTTGGTGCAACAACAAAACCAGTCGCCTCTGTAGTTTCAAAGACAACAAGGTATGCAGTTTTTATTATAAACAGGCAGCAAGTGTGATGAAGTGTAATTACGGCCTCCTAAGAGCGCGGACATTAGAATAAAGTTATGCGGTTGGGAACTTACATTTACTTACAATAACACTTCCCCTCTCTTTCTTCACGCTCGGCAATGTTTCAGTCATTCACACTTATCTTTCCCCTCCTATGAGATCTACACTTTTTAATCCCCTACAAACTGGATGAGAGGGCGACTTTGTCTATGGTGATGCCCTGAAAGAGCAGCGCAGAACCATGTCCATTGTGGTCTTTGGGCCGTTATTGAGTCAGATTACGCTTCATGAGTGTGAGTCATGTTAGCAGAAATAACCTGAGACAGAGGGCCTTAAGAGAGGCAGCGATACTGAAGAACTATCGCTTTGTCCCAAACAGACCCCCTGGCAGAAAGCAGCCCCACCTCCCCAGGGTAGGGTCCTATTGACTGGACTCATAATCCCTCATACTGAGCTGCTGGTGTGGAAAGAGAGGGCTGTAGTTGGACTAAACTTTCTCTAAGTGCTCCTATCAAATGACCATTTCTCGCTGTCATAGGTTTTCATTGTTGGCCCGGTTCATTAAGCGCAATTTGGACAATAAAGCTCTTGTTAGTAAAGACTTTCAACTTGATAAAATGTAAGATATTATTATCTGGTGGTTTCTTCAAATGTTTTTTTTAAATTGTGATTACAAGTTTTGAATTAGATTATTGTGATAGGCATTTGAGTAAATGAAGTCATCTGTCTGTGAATAGAGCATCAGATGTATTATACAGGACTCAACGTCTTTCCGCAGGATGTTGTGTTCCGCACTGAGTGGCTTGATTAGATTATCGCTCCTCTTGTCTTCCCTCTTAATGATCTCTAATCAAATAAAGAATCAACGTGCTGCGCCATTCAGTTTTCTGAAGAAGCACTGGTTCATGATGCTCTTTTGCTGTTAGAAATTAAATATCTGCCTTTTTTGATGTAAGATGGCAGCAATTTTTTATATTGAAGACCTATTAGTCCCAATTTCCTATCTTGTACAGGACAATGCTTTTTATCTTTATCCTTTTTTCCCACTTCTATTATCTTATAATATTAAATGCTGATCCATCCTTCCCATATTTAAAGGGGACCTATCATGCAAAATGCACTTTTGTACGTCTTTTATTCATGACTATATGTCCCCGGTGTGTCAGGGAACTCACCAAGTTGTGAAAACACAACCCTCTCTCTTTTCCTCCATACCCAAATCTCCAAAAAACGGATCTGATCCAGATTTGAAATTGTTCTGACGTCAGAAACAAGTTGCTCCGCCTATATGGGCAACTCTCCACCTATCAGGGGAATGAGAGGTTGCGTGGCATGGTAACAGCATGGTAACATGACGCTCGTGCCTCGCCCCCCTCCTTTGCAGGGGGGCGAGGTCAGCTGCAGCTCATTTGCCACATAATCAGCCCCTGCAAAAACAGGGCTGGAAAAGAGCAAATAGAGCGAAATGAGGCATGGCTAAAATGCATGATCTGTTTGGTATTTGAAAAAAAAACTTCACAGACATGTTTTATATAGGTATGGCCCTACAATATATTATTCAAATATAGCACGATAGGTCCACTTTAAGTAATACTGATACCAGTATGGGAAACGCCTTGACCTTAAATGCTGGATAGGGAATCACCAAGTATACAAATCTATGCACTGATCGCATATCATGTTATCATATCCTTTCCGAGCTCATTTACGGTACGATGGAACATTAACAACACGTCTCTCTCAATACCCAATCAATACATCCTGCCCGAGCGGTACCACACGTACAATTCCCAACAGAGATGAGAAAAAAGCGAAATGCCTCCCTCGTTGGCTACAATCAGACTGGATAATGTTTTAGTTTATTTGATTTTATTCTACTAATTCATCCAAAAAACAAAAAAAGTATAATTCATACACACATGAACAAAATTAGTAGAAGCCATTGTCAATGAAGAATGTCAATGGCAAATTCAAGTTTTACAAAGAGTTGAACCTGAGCCAAGCCTTAAAACAATGATGTAAGACGTAAGGCAGCCTCTGAATACTCAGTAGCGCCATTTCATGTGTTGGAGTCTGATTACAGTAGCACAACATCCCGGTGAGACCGTTTCCTGGCTTGTTTCCATCAACGTGACATGGCACTCGCCTCTCAGCTTGAGACACAGAAAGGACTACAGGGGAACAGCAGCAGTGTCTGCCCTTGTGACAGATGAGGCACGTTGCATTTCGTGCCACCTGCATGTGAAGTCAGTGGCGTGTCCAATCCCTTGTGTAGCAACAGTAGTAGTGGTGTGCTTTGCAGTCGGTGTTGGTGTTCGTGCTGGCTCACTGGCAGTAACACCAACGGACCTTATGTCAGCTCAAGCAGCGACTTGCATTAGTCATGACACGGACAGCGGTAGCACTAACCATCTAGAGAAGTGCATGCAACAGAATGGAATGGAGTTAAAGGATTTACCAAACTACCGTAAGAGATTATTGAGCTGCAACCAGGGATGTTGCTATACTAGATGTCAAGTCACCAATACCAGTGATATTCCATGATCCACAATTCAACACTACATTGAAAAAACAAACAAGACATAAACCCACTACTACAACGTGCACTCCTTTTTTAAAGTTCCAGTTTGCATGCGTTTGTAAGGAATTTAAATGTTATAATTCCTTTTCATCCATTTAATTTTGCTCAATTTGTTTAACTGTAATTATTCAATTTCATCTCAATTTGAATCGATTACATTTGAACACCTCAGCTGTCATCCTGCCAATCTCTACATAGATGTGTGTTGCATTATCATGGAGAAAATAGGCTGTGGTGTAAACTGCACCACACAAATATTTTGTTTGGTCCCCGGCACAATGGGAGGCCATTGGTCTTGAGCCCCCAGGTACCTGCAGTACTACGGCAAAAATAGTACCTTCACGTTTTAAGACCTGTGGCCTTGACGTAGTACAGAAGGAGTGTTTTTATATGACCAGCTTCCACAAAGGTACTGCACTTTTACAGCCTTCTTTCTAATTCAAGCCCAGACTAATTGCTTGTCAAATTGCTAAAACGCCATTGCTGTCCCAACTGCCACACAGGAACAATCCTTAACTTTTTAAAAGTCCAGTATCTGCAAGTTAAAACTCTTTCATGGAAATCTATTGAGGTAAACGATAAAGAAACGCTATATGCCACTGAAATTCGAGCAGCACACACTGCCTGTGGCCAACATAAAGCCTTCCTCATTAAGTATTAATATTCATTGGCCTACGGGGAGGAATGTACAAAACCATAATTGTTTTTTGTGATGGGCAAATAGGATCTTGTGTTTAGGTATAAACTCCAGGAAATAGGATGTGTACCAATGTATGGGGGGGGGGGAGAAAGAGAGAGAGAAGATTTGATAAATTGAAATGGGAGTAAAATGTTGGATCTGTGCTGAACATCCCTCCCGACTGTGATGTCGCAGAGCTGTTTCAGCTGTGGGTTGATTTGTGTTCCTTTGGAGTTTAACATGCAGGTGCACACCCAGAATCCATCTGAATGACATGGATGTGTTTTTCTTTTCTTTTACAATTTCATTAGCAGTAGAATCTCCATGTCCTTTTCCCTATCACAGATATATAACATCCCCCCCCATCCTACGCCAAACTACCCTCAGGTCAGGAGGATGTTTCTGTCTCAGTGGTCGATTTTAACCCTTAATAACTGGAATAGAAGCCAAATGTTGTAGAATCTGGCACCTGCTTTGCTCTCCTCTCCTCCAGTGGTGGGTTATGATGTCCTTGCACTGACTGAGCAATCAGTCTTTGTCCTCCCCACCCCCTCTCTCTATCTCCTCTCCCTTATCCATTTTCTCTCCCTGCCGTCTGTGCATGTACAGTGCTGGGCATGTGGCCAAGATCTCCTCCAGCCCTTCTTACAACCCTACTTCCATCGAGCTGTCCCCATATTTCTTGCTCCATCATTTAGCTGCACACTGAGCATGTACATTTCAGGGTGTTGTGTATCCTGAGAAGCAAAGTGGTGTTGATGAACAATTTTGTAAAATGATATGTTCAATGGTTCCTGATTAGGAATGGGAATACTTTGTGGTCTCTCAGAAACTGAGTGTTCCATGGTTATTGAAAACTGAATGTAAAGAATTGCTATGGCCTTGGCTCGTTGTTGCTCAACACACTTTCTTTGCACTTTTATTGTCAGTTTTCTCCCTCTCTCATTCTATCCCGCCCATTGGAGTTACTGTCATTTCTCCCCGACTTGGTGCAGAGCTGGATTACTGTCCTAACGGAAGAGGCCCATGGCATCCATCACAGTGACAGCGGGTGCCCAGGGCCTCATAAAAGCCAACAGTGTCCGCCATACTTTTGCTAGGCTGCAGACTTTCATTACAGCTTTTCACTGAGCCGATTCAGGCCCCTACTCTGAATTGTCAAGGAGATAACTGTAGGCCCACACTAACCCTGGGAATGTGAGCTCTTCTCGGTAAGGAGTAAAGCAGCTGATTTTGGACGGCGTACAAACCAAACAAGGTATTGTTAACGGCTCCATTTCAATTTGTTTTTTTGGAGGGGGCCCTTGAAGTGGTGAAGGGGGGGGGGGGGGGAAGGGTCAAGGACAGAAAAATGAATACTAAGACTGGATTTTTCTTTTGTAGGAGGGCTTACTGTGCAGGAATAAAAGTGTTTCTCCTGCTCAAGCCCTCTTATTGGTCCCTTTGTGGCTTGATTAAAACTGAATAATTTTTATCTACCAGAGCAAAATTCCAAGGTAATCCGTCCTCCTAACTTTTTCTTGTTTTATAATCAGAAGAGCGATGAGGGAGTCATGAATGGATTGGGTAGGTATGGCTTCAACAAAAGCCCCTAGCTCATGTTTACTCTTTGGCCAAACCGATGTTGCAGCTGCTCAGTATGGGTGTGTTTTTTTGCATCCGCCATAAACATTTGTGATTTTTGTCTGTAAAAACAAGAGGATCAGTGACTCGTCCCTTTGCTGACCTTTGTCCTTAAGAGCACCCTGTGTTTGGTCATTAACTTGTAGATGGCTGTGGAGTGCCTCTAATCCTCCCTTTGGGCTGTGATTTGTATTGATTTGAACCCTCTGTTGGCAGGAAGTATAATCCATACTAAAACGCCAACAACAGAACCACCCACGCACAGGCTTTACTGGGTTTGTCTGTCTCCTCTGGATCAAACCGTTTCATGAGTTACTACTCATCATAAAACAATGGATGGGGTTATTGTGTCTCCGTGGCCCCTCCTTATTCCCATCCCTTAACTCTTATCTTACTTTCTGTGTCTCGGTCTAATTTCATCCTTCAGTATCACTCACTCTTCCCTAGGAGAAATGCATTCATTCAATCATCTCTTCTTTCATTTCTGCTGTCAATTCCTATTTTGCTTGCATCCAGGAGTAGATATGAAAAAAAGCCTCATTTACTGCACCTTTTTCACCTTGCCTACGATTTTTATTTTTCTGCTCAAAAGTTCAGACTTGTGGCCTTTTTGCCGTTTAACAGCATGCATTTATTTGTTTATTTTCTTTCTGTTATCATTACCCAACATTTACATATTTCATCTCAGAGTTTTGGCTACACTTCACATTACCCTAACTTCTGTCTAAGGGCATCCAATTACAATTCCGCAATGAGTCTTTGTCTGTCCAGTGGACGTCTGATCCTCGAGACACAAATGGTCATTGTAATGGTTATTGTAATGTGGGAGCGGCATCTGTGTGCAGGCATGCTATGCTGCTCTGCTTGAAGTCTTCAAAGTCGGCGCTCATGTTGGCAGACCAAGTCCAACAGAAGACATTGTTGTAATTGCTAGTGGGGTCACAGAGTTTTTAAAGCGATTACATTTTCGAGCTTTTGATTGTTGTAAAAGTTCATCGATGTTGTACAAATGATGTACAGTACTGAGGTTTTGAATTGTTTCTTTGCACACCAGGGTTAAAGTGTAGAGATGAATACCAGAACCGCCTGCAGCTGACGACTCGCTCGTTTAACCGGCTGACTTTGTTTGTAGGTTAGCCAATGCAGCAATTTCTCGGAGCCTGACAAGACGAATGTTTTGTGTGGAGATTTTACATAGCCCAGAATAGCACAACATAAGCAATATTCAAACCTCAATGTAGGTTACAGCTCCTCATATCACTGCAATTTTTGGTCACACAGATTCTCTTTCACTGATCAAATTGAGGTCTGGTTTCTTTTTCAGGCCCTAGAAGACTTTGAACTTACTGATTCAAGACCTAGTTGCCTGTTTTTGACACGTATAAAAATGTTAAGTAGGATTTGAAGTTGCCCACAGTGTGTCTGCGCCAATGGAAGGACACACTTCAAAATCTTCCTGTTGAGGAGAGAAGCATAATTGAAGCCGAGAATGTGGGGAAAGGAATGTTTGGCCCCGGTTGTAGTCATTGAGTGGATTAGTGCAGTGTCCTCCCGACCTGCTCTAGATGTCCTTAGCTATTATCTTCACCTCTTCTTTTCCTCCTCTTCCTCGTTATTTTGCTGTCTATGCAATCACTCATCACACAGCATTTCCCCCCTCTCTGATCTGTTACTTTCTCTGCCCCAGTTCTCATCTCCTACCTCTGCATTACCCATTTCCTTTGTCATTTGCTCCAATTCAAGTTTTCCATATTTCATTTTTTCCCTGTAATCCTCTTTCTCATTACAGCCTAGCCTTTTGGAAGTGAGCAGATAATGAAGGAGGCATAACAGTGTGGTCATAGATTGATGGTGCTCTGTTAATGGGTTCCTATTGTGGAAATTGCCTTTGTGGTTTACAGCAGAACAGGTCATTTATTTATGCTTGTAAATGCATGTAGAGGCGGGGCATCAGATTTCACGTTTGGATCAATGCCAACAAAGAGAATCGACTGCAGCGATGAAGCTGCTTCAGCTTGTTTTTGTTGTTCCTTTTTTATCCTTCAGCATTTGTTAGCATATCTTTTGTTGTCTTCTTCCAGGCCGACTACAGCTCCCTCAACATCTCGACCTGCATCCACCACATCCAGGCCCACAACAGCTGCACTGAAGCCCTCCACCACTGCAGCTGCCAGAACCGCCTCCTCTAGAGTCAACACAGCCCCCCCTACTGGCAGGACCACCGCAGCACAGCCTCCCAGAACTGTAGCTGCTAAGAAAGGTCAGGAGTTACGCCTTGTTATATTCAGGTTGCATACATAACTGATGGATTTGAGGGTTTTAATTTGTCTTAAAATGTGGGTGATTAGCCTCAGGGATAAAGTACAAATGCTTATTTTTGACAGATTTGGTGAATTGACGTTTGTTTCATCTTTGCACTAGATGTCAGTCGCCCAACTTCTGCTACAGTGGCAAATAAACCTCTAGCAACTACGACATCCGCTGATGCCAAGAAAACCCCTCGACCCACAGCCCCCGTAAAGCTCAACACTGCCTCCAAATGTTCCACAACAACCAAGGCAGCAGACCCCAAGGTGTCACAGACCAAAGTTCCTGCAAACTCTACTCCCACCAAGAAACCTGTAGCTTCGGTTCTGTCCCTGGCCCAAAACAAACAGCCTTTTGGACGATCCCCACCTGCGTCTCCAGCCAACAGACCTGCAAACAGCAGCACTCCTCAGGCAAAACGCAGAACCAAACCCACTCAGGCTGTCCTTCCTTTCACTGCCACAAAGAAGGCCGGTGTTTCCAGTATTCTCAAAGCTGCTGCCGGAGCACAGAGGGCTGCCGGTGGTGCAGGTGCAGCAGTGGAGACTCCCCCTGTCTTGGCCCAGAGTACTACACTGGACGTGGTGCCACAAGAGACTGCTGTAAGACAAGAAGCTGCTTCCTCTCCTCCACGAACCCCCACACTTCTGATGGAGACCGAGAGCAGTGCTTTATTACCAACAACGCAGGAACAGACCCCTGCCCCAGTCGAGCCTGCATTACCACCAGTGGCCTGTCCCCCAGATTACACTGAGGAGCCTGGTTACCTAACCCCCTCCACGTCTAAAGTCCTCCCAGCAGCAGCAGCAAATTTCCTCTCTCTGAAAGTTCCTCCCACCAATCTAAATGAGGAAGAGGATGAGGAGGAGAGGGAGGGGAGCCAGCTGGTTTCTGTGTCTGAGATGAGTGGAACCACGCAGCCCACAGAGGAGTCTCGTCCCGGCTCTGCAGGACCTGTCGGAGGGTCTGCCTGGAAGGCCGGTGGCGCCCTGTTTTCTGAGCTGGACTCTGAGGAGGTGAGCGGCAGCCAGCAGGGGGCGTCGGAGCTGAGCGCCCCCGGGGTCCTGGAGGGCACCGAGAGCATGGACGACCTGGGAGACGGCAGTCTGAAGGGAGCCATCGACATGGAAGGGGCCTCAGCGGGGTCACCTGACTTTGAGAAGGTCCCCGACATACCGGCTAATGACTTCGATGAGGACGATGACTTTGACGATGACCGTGTGTATGACATGGACGTGGGCTCGGAGCGGGCCGACGAGCCGCAGAGACTCCGGCATGATAACGACGCGAATGATGAAGAAGAGGAGGACGAAGATGTGGAAATGGCAAGTGAGGGCGTGACAGAGAGCGGGCTGGAAAGCTATGGGAATGCAGATGAAGATGACTTTGCTGAAGATGAAAGGCTGGACAACCTGAACAGAGTGGCCGAGCCCCCGCTTCCCCCTCTTCAGCTCCCCTCCGCCCCCGCTGCTCAGTGGGAACAACCAAACCCCTTCGTTGATCCGTGGCATGCAGACCCTGAGCATCAGCAGCTCCTGGTGGCAGTCTCCCAGCCAGAACAGGAAGCAGGAGTGGCAGCAGCGAGCCCCTCAGCTGACCCCTGGCATGCAGACTCTGAGACCCCGACTCAGGCCTCAGCTTGGTTGGAACTCGGCTCTGCTCCTTTGGTTCCTGAAAACCAAGAAGCTCCCCATCAGTCCTCCGTCAAAGATGAGCCACAAGATCTAGCTCCAATGCAGACCCTGGCCCCGGTTCTTCTCTCTGCACCCCCCATGTCTCTGTCAAGCACCCTGAGCAGTGAGACCAGCACCCCCGAGGAGCTCTGCGACTACAATCTAGATGGGAAGGCTCAAGATGTGCATGCACCGGCACTCTCCCCACAGCCTGAGCTGGACCACGAGGAGGCCGAGACGCTGCCCGCTGACGAAGTGCTGGGAGGCCCTGCAACTTCCCCCACCTCCAACCCCTCCTCCCCCTCGGTAACAGAAGACGAGGCCAGCGACACGGAGGGAGAGGCTCAGTTGGATGATTCCTTGGAGACGACGATGGTCAGCCAGCACATCACCTTCGACAGCCAATCTCCATCCCAGCGCTGCCTGTCCACCGTGGAAGAGGGAGAGGAGGCTGACACGGAGGAGGCTCGTGCAGGTGAAGACACCACCCCACCTTCCACTACATCGTTGGTGTCATACGGCTTCGACACCATGACCACAGCTTCCAACGCCCAGTCCACAGGGGAGAGCTGCGTCAGGAGCCCCGGCATCTTCTCCCTGGAGGAGCTGCCCGAGGAGGCCAAGGAGCCGTGTCTGATCCCGCAACCTCACACGCCGCCATGCTTCGCAGAGCATCAGTACATCGATTGTGGGAAGCAGGAATCAGATTCTGCTGAGCCCGCTGAGAACACCAGCACGGGTGTGCCGGGGCCCGAGGAAGCCCCGGACCCTTCGTCTGCCCAGAGCACTTTGCAGCAATCCGAAGAAATCCCAGAGGACGTCCAGCCTCCCTACTATTCTGCGATCTGTGAAAAGACTGAGAACTCTTTTGCAGGTAATGTATAGTTCATCATCTCCTTAAAAGCCCCCCCCCCCCCGGCCCTGCTCCATCATCCCATAATAGAGTTGTGCAGTGACGAGTCCGGGAACCCGGAAGTGAGTTGGCATTTTACCCCTCGTCTGGGATTTCTCCATAGGATTTTGGAAAATAGCTGGAAATAAGGTCTGTGGTTGACACGCATTTAAGAGCCGGATCACGTTTTGTTCTACGACATTAAATACAGCAGGACGTTGTACGTCATTACGCCGAACACGTAAACACTCCCGCTAAGTTTGTTTTCCCTGTTCTGCTTGAAAGCAAGTACCTGCCTCCTGCAAACTGTTAAAACAAACGCTTCAATTTGCACAATTTTGAATATGTGTTTCTGAATAGCGATCTTAAGTTGGCGTGACGTTGAAGTCGTGCGACCTTGCTGTAGTTCGTTTATAGCATAACGTTGGCATTTTGCTTCTGGCGATTTAGATTTATGATTCGAAAATTATAAAAGTAGGGTAGACATGTGGAGATTATCCGGCTGAACAAAACGTGGTTTGGGTTCGTTTTCCACAGACCTTATTTCGTGCTATTTTCCAAAATCCCATGGAGATATCCCGTTGCTTTTTTGTCGAGGGAACCCATGCGCAGCTTACTTCCGGGTAAATACGTCATCCCTGCACCACTCTATATCTCACTGTTGTAGCTCTTGTCGTCCGTGTTTGTCCTGATCTCTGGGGGTGGATCTAATCAAAGTTTTTTTTAAAAGAGGACAGCCGTAGCACTTCCCTCTGATATAGTGTTTCAATTATGAGTATTTGGCTTAAATTCCTGTATGTGCAATAGCTACTACTATTTACTCCTAATGTGTGAGCGTGCTTGGGTTTTGGTTTCCGCGTGACCTAACGCAGAATAATGTGGTTGCCTTGAACTGGCATGGATTCATCTTTGTCTGTTTACAGCTCTTCAAGAGGAAGAAAATCAAGCATAACAAAGGAAATGCGGAATGAACTGTTTCCATGTGTATTTATCCCAACACTTTTTTACCTACAAAGCTGATAACTGACAATGATTTTTGATTTTTTGCTTGTATATTCCTGTTTGTTTCATTTTGCTCTATTATGATAAAGGCAATCTTCCTTATTCCTGGTCACTCATCATATCTTCTTGCACTTTAAATTGTACCCCAGCTTTTTCTTGTGTGCATCCATCTTTTGGAGTAATGACAACTTTAAATAAAGATTAGATTTTTTACAATGATGCGCTCTCTCACTGTACAGTTTTATTGAAATGGGTGATTGGGAGTGCCATTATTATGCTCTGTGGATTGGTGTGAAAGTTCAAATCATCCAACACCACCAGCACTCATTAAACGGTCTTAAAACTTCAAGTTATTTACCAGTTACATTTGCTATATACAAACACTCAGCCTTGTGTCCTATAGCATATCACTTTGGAATACTTTTACAAATACAATAGAACTGTATGGCATTTCCTTTACAAAATTGACACGAAGAACAGTGGACCTCCTGACCAAGACTTCACTTCTCTGCCATGAGTTGGTCGTCTACACCCCGATCCTCATCTGTGGATCAACTTCTGCATCTCAGCGGCAAAAGGAGTTGGTCCAGCCTCAAGAAGCCCCCACTCCTCACTCTGCTGCCTCCTTTAATTTCCTTCCAGTCACTGTGGGTGTTTTTTTTTTTTAGATCTTTGCTACTACTTTTTTTTAAGCTCTCCTCCTGCATTGTATTGATAACTTATTCTTATGCATGTCACTGTTGCACAATGACTTGCCTTTTGATACATTACTTTGGATTGGTTTGTTCAGGGTCAGCCAAAGAGACTTAATGTACTAAGTTGAAATAATGTCTAGCCTAAGAGGAATATTTCACCCACAAAATTATAATTTAAATATCAGTAACCCACACTGTTACTTTGAATTCTTGAAAAGAAAAAAAGAATGTCTTGCCTACCTTCATGGTCAATGAAGTTTAAAATAAAGTCTTAAATATGTTTTCTCGTGCAGTATAATCGAAGTCTCATTTATCCAGTCGTATGCTTTCTACTTTTGATGCATATTTGCTATAACTTGACCTACTGATCATCACACCTCCGCATAATCAGAACTTGGAATTCAAAGTAATACTGGTGAGTATTTTTAATAAACAAATGACCATTTTGTGGGGGAAGTATTCATTCAACTTGATCACCTCTAAGGCCAAGCTATTCTTTGAGTGTTTCTTGTGATGCTGGATGTCTATAAATGCATGGAAAGCTTTTGCATGTATCACTGGTTGACTAACTATAAAATCCATTCACGGGGGACAACTTTTTAAGCTCGCGAAAAGCTTTTCTGGGATTGTTTACGTTTCACCATAGTAAATAGCAATTGCATATACAGGAAGTTGGCTGCTTTTTTTTTTTGCACAAAATATTTCTTTTCCGAGTATTTAAAGAAGAAGAAAGGGGGTACATGTAAAGAAAATCACTTCAATGTGCACATTTGCGCTCTGCACAAATGTATCTAGCACCACCCCCAGTCACCTCTGGTCACTTTTTACTGGTGTTTTTACCAAAATCCCCCCTCCCTGAATACTCAGCCGGCTATATCTGTCACTGTTGCACGGCTTTCAAACAATGTCCCACTGTCACATGTTCAAAGTATAAAACCACGAATATTTGCCGGTCAGTTTGGTGCTGTAGGCTCGGCTTCACAATGCTTTCTCTATCCCTTCAGTGAGAATGAGCCTCTGTCGGCCTCCCCTCCACACCCTTTCTTTGCTTGTACTCACACTGCACTGCTGTCACTGTCCTGCTGCCTGTCACCTGTTTTAATAACATCACGCTGCTGTCATTTCCCTTCCCGCTTCCTCTCACACACAGGCTTCGCTGCACTACCGCAGCCTCACCGCCGCGATCACTCGGCCTACCCCAGGACCTACTGCGACCTCGTCAAACCTCTGGTGGCCGCCCCCCCGCCCAAACTGACCTGCGCTGACCTCCCCCCCAGGAACATGGGCCAGAAGGCGCTGAGCCCCCAGCTGCGCAGGCTGGAGCAGCACCAGCGGCAGCTGCTGGAGATGCAGCTGCGCCGCGACCAGCAGAGCAGACCGCTGGAGGAGGCGGAGCAGGAGAGGAAGACCAGGGAGGAGGAGGAGGCCAGGAAGAAGAAGGATGAAGCCGAAGAAGAGATAAAGAGGAATAAGGAGGAGCTGGAGAGGAAGACGCAGGAGGTGGCGAAGAAGAAGAAGGAGGAAGAGGAGGAGAGAGGGAGGAGAGAGCTGGAGAGGAAGACGCAGGAAGTGGCGAAGGAAGAGCAGGAGAAACGGAGGAGAGAGCTGGAGCTGCAGCAACATCAGGAGCTGAAGGAGCGGCAGCAGATCATGCAGTGGCAACAAGAGCTGCAGCAGGCTAACAAGGAGCAGGCGGAGCTGCTGTTGGCCTCCTCCGTCCTCTGCACCATCTACGAAGCCCTGGAGAACAGTGATGGTGAGGAAGAGCTCAACCCCACTAAAGAGGAGACACCAAACGGAGACCTGATCGACGATGAGCGTGGAGACTCCTCTCCGTCCACAGAGAGCCCCCCTCCTCTGCGAGACTCCCCGCAGACGTCCAGCGACCCCTCCCAGGATGGAGACAGCTCCTCCCCCTGTCCCCCCGAGTCTCCAGAGAGACCTCCCCCCCTGGAGCTGGACTGGGGGAAGAAGGTGGACATCGTGCAGCAGCTGATCAATCAGACGCTGCTGCTGAACAGAGGCGGCTGCTCCTCGCTGCTGCTGCTGCCGCGGGGGGCGGGGGGCACGCTGAGCCCCCTTGAGAGCAGCCTGTGGCCCAGCCTGCTACCCCCCCTCACTCCTCCCTCGGCCACTGTCACCGCCGTCAGTAGTTTCTCCCCAGAGGCCACTGGGAGCTCCCCTCAGGGGGAGTGGACAGTGGTGGAGCTGGAGACGCATCATTGAGGGACAATTACAGTACACACTGTTAAACATTGAGGACAGACATACAGGGAAGATGGCGCAAGTATTTTCACACACACACACACACACTCAAGACTTGCTCACAACTAAAAAGGTGATGTACATGTGTATGCAGAGCAGCACACATTTACTCTACTGTTGCTGTTAACACAATTAAGCAAATCAAGGTTCACTTAAGGAGAACAGATTAAATACAGCTGGAAGTAAATATAAGGGCTGGACAATGGAGGGGGGGGAAAGGCAATAACTTGATAAGCAGCACCATTTAAAGAACGATAAACTCGATTTAAAAAAATCACTGTTGATGTCCATCACATTGAACTCAATGGTCAAGATTGTAAGAAGTCATACCCAAGTATTTAATAAAGATAACCTCAGAGAAATTGATAAACATCATTGTTAGAATTTAAAAAGGACAAAACAAACTGCCCATCAGGAAGACCCAGTAACTTGTGCTATTGATCAGTGGTTCCAAACTAACAGTGAATCACAAGAAAGCATGTTTGTATACACAATGTGTATTTCCTTCAAGCTTTTATTTTCTTGTTGCTTCCTTTCAAAACGACCAAATGAATCTAAGTATTAGAAGGAATAATCACTCGACAACCTGTAGACAGGTGCAACTTGTGACTCGTAGTAGACTGATCTTATCTTTGAAAGGGCAAAAAAGCTTGGGTCACTCAATGGTCAGGGTTTTCTAACCCTACTGAAAACACAAGCCCAAACAAAACAGACACTAATGATCGGTGGTGCTGCAGTTCTTGTTTGCTGTTACTCCAGCAAGTATGCATTTGATTGATGTAAACAAAAGGTTAACAACTATTTTGCTCTGGTTGTAGACTCTCTGGTAGTCCTCGGGGGTAAGTTAAAGATTCAATTATCATATCAGTAAAGACGGTCCAATTTGTGGACCACATTTTTTATGGAAAATGTATTCAGTTGGTTAACACGCATTAACCCACAGAAACATCTAAATGCTTTTTTTTAAAAAGCCTTTTCTAAAATGTTAGGATTTAAAAAAAATTACCAACCCTTTGTGTCCATGGTTTAAAGTGTTGAGTCAGATATTTCTTGACTTTAGACAGACTGCAGGCACCATTTTTTTTTATTGAACACTGATGAATGACATTGTTTAATACATTTTGCTAAAATAAAGAAAACGGTTTGTATTTCGTTAATCACCTTATTCTAGACGCGATGATATGCAGACACAGGCCTAGTTTCAATTAGTTTATTAATCAGCATTTGAAGTTATTTTAACCAAAACATACGACAGAAATGCCAAGTACAGGACCTCTGAGTCCTCGGTGTAAGCTAGGATGAGTCTTTACTCTGGGGAAAAGTCTCTGATTCTGCCAGTGAAGAACCTGCGTCTCCGCTCACGTAGACAAACACGAGACAGCACTGAAACTCAGCACCTCTCTCCTCACTAGTGATGTGTCGGTCACGAACGAGCCGGCTCAAAGAGCCGGCTCTTTTAAGTGAACGACGGGAGCCAGCTCTCGCCCGCGAACGAGCCATTTTTGCGGACGGATCTAGATCGGCATGAAGGCACATTATGCAATGTGCAATGTGCACATTATCCCGCTTATTACATGGCCACATTCTCAACAAAGTAACGACATGACTCCCAATAGTAATGGAAATGCTTTTATGGATTTAGAAAATGATTTTAGTGATTTAAAAAATAGTTTTATGTATTGATTTAAATTGACATGCATCCGCTAAGAAAAGTAGTCCGTTGTTACTGTTTGAACTAACGTAGCAACGGCAGGAACTGCTTCGATAGTGTTTTTGAGGAGCTTTTTGATTACAGATTTGAAAACATCGTTGCTTGCTTTAAAAGTAGCACAATTCATTATGGCAAACCTTGGAAAGTATCTAGATATCCCTGCCCTAATGCCAAAGTAACTGGCAACTGAATATGTGTCGCCGTTTGATGTATATGTCTGGACCGCTGCGTAAAAAGGAGGGTTTCTGCCCCATTACTTCTCTTCTTACGTCTATAAAAATAAAACACGGAGGACGGAGATTCTCCCCCTCTTCTGACAGCCTAGCAGCTGATCTCAGAGCACGCTCCCCTCTCCTGCAGGGGGGCGTGGTCAGCTGCAGCTCACAGAATCAGCCCCTGCAAAAACAGCTCTGGAAAGAGCAAATGGAGCGAAATGAGGCATGGCTAAAATGCAGGATCTTTTTGGTATTTTGAAGAAAAAAAAAATATTTATATACTTTATATAGGTTGATACAGTAGCCCCTTTTTAAAAATAGTTTTATAGGTGTTGCTATCTGTTTTGTGTAGCGTGGTTCTACAAGCAAGTCAATGCATTCATTGGGTGGTATCAGAGAGTTGCACGTGTCTGTAAATGCAATGAAAACAATTGGCCACAGCAAATCATTTATATTAAACATGTAATTTTTACTTTTGAATACTTCAGTACAAAGGATGTATTGAATAATTTAAGTGATATATGTGTACACATATAAATCATTAGTCAAAACAGGGCTACATTTGATTTAATTAAAAGGTATAATAAGTGGTAAACTGAAGAGCCGTTTGGGAGCCGAAAGAGCCGGCTCTTCTTGGTGAGCCGAGCCAAATGATCCGGCTCACCAAGAAGAGCCAGAATTCCCATCACTACTCCTCACACTTGATACACTACACCACTGAAAACACAAACTAAACACTGGCTATAAAATTACATTTCAATCCTGTAAACACACACCTGAAACCATGTGACTACTGACGGGACGCATGATGCATCACTGGAACGAGACACTTTTCATTATGCGAAATCCCTCCACACACACACGGTGCCAAACAGCCACTATCAATGGAAGGTAGATTGAGGGATAGGTGTGGTTGTTTTACTTTGCGTTGCTCACCCGCAGCCATTTTGAATTAAAGCCGTAATTTATCACCTTATTTTCCTATGACCGAGAATATGAGAATAGCCACTGGAGATGTCTTGCTAATGAAAAGTGATAAAAGAACACTCATTCCAAGATTTGCACTCCAGATACACTTTTTGTATCAATTTTATAATGTTTATAATACAGGCTTGGATACTTTGGCTGGTTAGTCAAACTTCATTTGGTATAATTTATTTGATGTCAAATAAATGTTAAGACCTTACAGTTCTTCACCAAAGGTCAGTGTGACTAGTATGCATTTCCTTATGAAACACTGGAGTCAGGCACCGATGAGGCTTTACTTATGTTCCTGTATTTGTCGAGAGATGAAGTTTGTTTTATATAATAACTGCTGAGAGATGCCTTTTTATGGTTTCTGTTCTGGAACCACTGTCATATGTTTTGTCTCCGTTATGTTCTCATGCTCACGTGATGTTTCTGTCACAGACTACTGACAGATGATAGCCGGTCATAACGCCTTCTATTTTGCATTAGAGGACAACGATTTACTTTGGGTAAAACCAATTCTGCTGTAAAGGTCAGGGGTCACTTTATTGTGTGAGATCAGGAAGGCTATTCAAAGGGTTCAATATCAGGTCATTTGAAGTATTAACTATATTGTTGTGTCACTGTGATGCGAGATGGTCTGGAAGTGTGACCTAAATGTTCATATCTGTCGATATGAACCTGTTGTCTGGATACTGTGTGTTTGTCAGTCACTGTAAAATCAAAGACATTCTGAAGACGCATTCAGTCGTTTTATGGCAGTTACTTGGACTGGTAATGTGAAATTAAGGGCACAAAAATGACTTTGAAATGTATTAACACTCAAGCCCATTTGAATCAGATATAGCATGAAGGCTGATTTTTGTTTTATAACTAAGCAGTGAACTTTAAACTTATTGGCTCTTTCGAAGGATGATTGCCCGCTCCCATTATTGATATTGGCAAAGAAAATTGCCGTCTTCATCTCCCGCTCTCGTATGAAAGCCCATGTGTAGCAGCTGAGAAGCGAGCAGGTGTTTCTGCTCATGTATGTTCGCTCTCCCGTCCTCACGGTAAGACGCATTGTGCTCGCTGCATTTTTGACAAAGCTGGACTTTAAAAACATGCTTTTCTTAAACATGTCTGTGTTTTTGTAAGCATCTGTGTGTATATTGTTTTAAAGACTGCTCACTGTAATGAAGGGAAACTCCACTTGACTTTTGTACTTTAGAAGAATAGTAAGAGTCCTATATAGATTTTTATTGAATAGAGAATGAAGGATGTTGGTTGTAAATGTTAGATTTTATTCTTTTTTGTAAGTAAATGACCTTTATGTCCAGTCAACAGAACTGATGAGCCGAATGATGACGAGGTTAAACTGAAGACAATTAGGGGCTCAAAAATATTAAATCCCACATTTAAGATATTAATTTATTAAAGATGAAGTTGGATCTTGAGAACTAATTCAAATGGCTGCTCCAGCTTGTGAAGCCCGAACCATGGCAGCTTGTTTAAAAACTGTGATTGTGTGTAATTACTTCAATGCAATGTTTCATGTAAATAAAATGTTTTGTTTTTTTAAATAACGATTCTGAAATTATTTTCAACACAAAACAACAAAAGGCTATTCAAAATGTAAGAAACATATTTATAGTCTCTTATAAAATAACACTCTTCAACATAAACACACTGAACACAATTAAGTGACAAAATGTACAACACAGTCAAACATGCTCATCACAATATAAAGCATAACATTTTTTACAAACTCTATAAAACGTTTGTTTTTCAAACAACACTCGTCATTTATGACACCATCTTCTCTTCAGCTCTAAGTGTTGAACAACCTCTGGCTGAGAGTAGAACATATTACAGTCATGTGATGGTATTTCTGCATCTGATTCTGTTCCATCCAAATTTAAGTTGCTCCGCTCAATTCAACAAACTGTTTATCCTTCGATCCTCCAACATGATGGTGTATCCCACAGACAGCCAGGTCACTATGTTCACTCTGGTGAGACAACAGCAGCTGCTGCAGGTAGTCTGTGGCGCTGCAGCTCGACGGTTCGTTGCTGCCCAGGAACAGCAGCCTGTGGTAACTGGCTGTAGGGACCTGGCATAGGATCCTAAACGAACAGGACAGATACAATGTATATGAGTGACACAACCTGAGAAAACACATCAGATATCAGACATGAGATGAGGAATGTGTTGCTCATTTTAAGATGTATCAGTTATCTTTTCAATACATTGTACTTCCCCAGAAAAGCAATGAAGAATGTCTTAGAGATGGTTTGAAGTGGGGTTGTATTACTGTATATTAGATTTAATTGACTTGGTGATTACAGACTAATCCTTCTAAATGCTCAAAAGGTCACACAAAAACACCAACTGATCAAGGGGGCGCTAGAGCAGCCAACTCCTGTGTTCAGCAAGGTCAAATTACCATCTTTTTTTGAGTCTGGTACCTCCGATAAAAAATATGAAATCTTCAGTTGTTCGACTGAAAGGGCCGTCTGATGGCAAAGTAAATTGGTGAAATTATGCCAAATGTACCGTACGCTTAATCTGATAAAAAACAATTTAGTTGGGCATTTTTATTGGTAGCTAAAATACGTTTTGCTGCTGCCCCCAACCACAGCAGTGCATTGCTCCTGTTCTATAACTCCTGTCTGCTTATCCAAGCTAGGGGTGTGCTGACCACCATCTACTGACTGTGTGTAAGTACCCCATAAAACCCCTCTTCAAAACATCCTTACAAAGCCTTTGTTGTAGAAGCAGCTACAGAGCAACAGATAAAGAAATGCGAATCAGTTTACCATTCGCAGATGTCGTCTGTTTCGGGTGTCGCCTGCACCCACTGCCCGATGGACCACATCCTCACCACGTCACCATCAGAGACGCCTTGGCTGTCCCCGCCTGTCTCTGCGTGTGCGTTGGGAATGTCCTCATAGCACAGGAAGTAACTGAATAATAGATTAAGAACAGGAATATATGTATTTGAAGAGAAATGACATGATGCAATCTATCAGAGGAATACATTGTATCAAACAAAGGGTGAATATATCAGCCAGACTCACTACTCCGTGGTGTCCTCCCTCTCCTCCTCTGGCCGCTGCTCATCTGGGAGTCTCTCCACGTTCCAGCGCATGCATTTGAACAGGTCGGTGTCGACCTGGGCCAGGTATTGTGTGGGCCTGCAGTAGCGAAACGTTGTCACCTTCAGCGGGCCGAGCTGACTCTGGCCGATGCAGAAGTGAGACACACTGCGAATGCAACAAAGAGTTAGAAGGTGAGAGGATATTGGATTGTTACAGCAGCAACAGCAAGTCACAGGATATAGAAAGTCATCTTGCCAGGATCAACTGTTCCCATTGCATACTGAAACTCTTACAGCGAGAAGCAGTCTGTCAATTTCCCCTTTATGACTTTCCATGATAAATTAAAGGTTTATCTGTGACCTTTAGCAATGCCCAAATCAATGCCGTTACAACAGGGTAAGGTATGTCAGGTGTTATTTGTGCATCCTTAAATCTGCTCGTAAGCAGATATGATACAAAATACTGTCGTGTGGGGGGAAACCCAAGGAAAACCAAAAATAATTATTACATTCAGACTTTGTTATGTCATGTTTTTGTTCTCAAACACACAACACATGTTATCCAAATACTCAAAGATGAATACGAAGAATGTGTTTTGTGTGTGTGTACCTGTTAGGCTCAGTCTCGTCCAACGAGAGGAGATTGTAGCTGGCGAAGGTCAACACCAGCTGTTCCAGCCTGTCACACAGCTGCTGAGAGAAGTCCAACAGCTGCACACGCTACACACACACAGGAAGTTTAGACTCAAGCCATTTTACATTTTGTTTTTAAACAGAGAAGACAAAACCTCCGTTTCACTCAGCATGTGATACAGGATCGGCCCTCTGTTAACCTGCAGGAGTTTTTAAATGATTGTGAACATTGGTTACATGAGAAACTAAAGCCCTATTTAGCTATTCCCAGGATGCAACTTTTGAGAGAGGGTGTGAGTTTGTTGTGTTATACACATTTAAAAATAAACTAGCTAGAAAACAATATAACATTTCAAGTTATGTTTGTTATAAAGTCTGAATCAGAGGATAATTATTGAAACAACAAATGCAGACATTGTGTAAGACAGTGACCACTTTTTTGCTATCAAAGTCTGCTGGCTAAATAAATCAGAAACAGGTTTGTTGCCAAGTAGGTTAACACATACGAGGAATGTGTCTTGGTGTTTTTGGTGCATACAAAAACATACATACCTAAAAATTAAAAAGGAATAAAAAAACTATTTTAGAAAACTAGAGTATATATTGAATATAGATGAAGTAAAGTTCATACAGAAAATGCATACACAATAAAGAATATGTCGCATGATACTAGAAATTACAAAAATCTAAAACCTCAGCCTGCGAATGATTTAATCAACATCATGAAAGGTGTTCTTGTCACTCTGAATAATCGACAGACCCTCCTGCAAACAGAATTTTATAAAAATCATTTTAGAAAATAGAACCAATGTTGGTTTCAAATCTTGAGAAAAAAAATCAGCGTAGCTTAATGCCACTGGTGAGGAAATAGGTATTTTATTTTTGTTGTGGGATCAGGCCATCAGAAAAAACTCATACCCTTGTGTATATGTCAAAATGCACAGGGCTGCGCTGCGACACGATGCTTGTGGATTCCAGGTAGTTAAAGTAAGGCTGACAGGTGTACAGGAAACTTGGCACTGCAGCTGCAAGAGCCTCCCTCTCTAGAGGACCCTGTCTGTAAAAACACACACAAATACATACAAACAGCAGAAACACCAAGGTTACAATTGAGCCTTTATCAATAGCCAGGGCCATGCCCCCAGTGATCTTCTGTTGTTGTTCATGTTTGACAGTATGGGCATCACCATCTAGATGAGACATCTTACATGCTTTTGTTTTCAGTTTCTAGCCTCAGAGCCCTAATTCCAGATATTTATAAAGACACGAAACTATGTGAAATTGCATCATCACTTTTAAATAAGCAAATGTATTTAAATACCCATTGACGAGGCAGTCATGCAAGTCATCAGCTTTGCTCATGAGGAACTGCAGCTGCAGCTCCTCATCAGTTTTGCTCATGAAGAACAGCAGCTGCAGCTCGATGGCCCGGAGGCTCCTCTCCATCCTCCGGATCTCTCTGCAGGCTGCATGCTCTCCACATGGGGGCGCCAGAGCCACAGGCAACCAAGTCAGGGGCTCCTCCACCTCTAATGTATGCACGGTATCAGACAAAGCAAAAACACAACATGTACTCTAACTCTCTTATTCTCATTTTCAAGAATACTAATAACTGGAACATTAAGCCAAAGAGGGGGTTAAGTACTTCTGTAACGAGAATAAAAACATCAACAGTGAATGACAGGGGAAATTAAATAATAACCTACACACAGTGGTGTAAAGAAACTAAGTAGATGTACTTAAGTAGAGTACTTTCCTTGAGAATTAACATGTGTTGCTACTTTGTGCTTCTACCCCACTACAATGCAGAGGTAAATAGTTAACTTTTACTCCACTACATTTATGGAATACCTTTGCCGTGGATTAATAATGTGAAATATTTAATCAACACTCAAATAAGACTTAAATAAAACCTGGAGTAAATTCACAAGCTACCCTGCAGAATATAAAGTAATTCAAACTAGCTGCACCAGCTTTGATAAACACTTTAATGCATCAATTATTATATCAACACATATAATATGTTATTCTGAAAAAGGCACATTTGCATAATGAGTAATTTTACTTTTGGTACTTTAAGTATATTTTAATGCTAATACTTTTACTTGAGTAACATTTTCATTTCAAACCTTTATTTAACCAGATTTGTCCCATTGAGATCATAGATCTCTTTTTCAAGCGAGACCGGCAGGACTTTTAATTGTAAGTATTCCTAAACGGTGGTACTTCTACTTTGATCCGAGTACTTCTCCCACTTCTGCCTACACATCCATGTTTTATAGCATTAGTTAATGGGAATGTATTAGACCTCCATGTCCGGTGTCTTCAGGAGTCTCCGGGCAGTCTGACTGCTTCTCGCCGCTCATGTCCTCCTGCAGGCCGCCACACTCATGTTCCCCTGTCGGTGAATCGGAAGGGACCTGGACCTGAACTTCAACATCTCCCATTTCATCTGCTGTTGGTAAGTTTGTGTTTCTTGGGAAACCTGATGAAAATAAAACGCCAAGTTAACTTCTTATTTTCGAGCGGTTATAAACTGAAAGACCTGTCATCCCGGTTAACTCACCAAACAACGTTGATGCTAACTAGCTAACTGTAGCAAATATTTAATCTGAAATATTAAACTGTTCATATTTAATGTAATGTTTTATTACTTTATATGTCTACCGACATTGTTTGTATACATAATAAATGATGTTCATATGTTCTTGAATAAAGTTAAAATAAACTAGCTAACTTTAGCTTACAGCTAGCAACAGACTAAAGTTGTAGCACAGAAACAACCCGAGATATCGACTACATACCATTCGGCTGTTTGTTTTTTACCGAATTACAAAATCATAAATATTTGATAGCGCTGTAGACAGTTTAATTAAACAATTTAATAATTAACTTTCGCTACGTAGCTAACAGTTATGTCTTTACCCGATCCGTACCGGAAACTCACCGACAGATGCACAGGGGCGAATAGGCCGCTTCTTCCCGTGAAGTATGTCGAAGCAATTGACGGCGCTTTTCTGGGTTACAAATAAAAATAATGTTATCTTTGGTTTGATTAGTTGTAAAATAAAATACTTAAATGGGTCCTTATTCAAATAAGTACTTTCTCTCTGGTTTTGGTTAAGAATGTCTAAAATATTGAGCTAATTTCGTCATTTATTAAAGAAAAGCTAGTTAAAGATAGGGTAGGTAGTTCACTTCAGAAACACTTTTTGTTATATTCCATGGAATGCTCTTAACATCTCGATAGCAATGAATACATTAAATGCTTTGACAATAAATATATACAAATATTTCATCGGTGGAAGCCGTGGCGCTGTAAAAAGCACGGCCGGCTCAGATAATTGGATGGCATACCTGCCTGTCAGCCTTCCTCTCGTGCACAAACTTATCTCGGGCCCTCATTGGTCATATGCGCGTTCGTGTGTGTTGGAGGAGGGGCTCTGTAAGGAAGGGGCAGATTTGTATTGGCTGCGTACTTTCAAATTCTAGCGCACTCGAGCTGGTTTCTCCATTCTTACCTACCCTACCTTTAATTGCTTGTTAAAGTAATTCAACTATGAACAATTAAATATATATCAATGGTATACTATATTTATTCAGCGATGGAAGAAGTAATTATATTATCCTGTTTTTATAAATGTAAGGGCATTCACTATTCATACTATGTTTGTAGTAGTTTTTTTCAAAAAAGTACTTAGATACAATGCTTGATTACATATACTCAGTTTCTTTCACTAGTACTTTACCAATGTACATATTTGAAGTTAAGATAATTGAACACAATAACATTTAAGTGGACCACTGGATTTAGTCAGTGTTATACAATTCACACTAAACATATTTTATCAATTTATTACTAGAGATTTGTTATCAAGATAAAATGATCTCTGTAAGCTTTCCTAAACAAATAAATGTTATATATTATTTTTAAAGATTCATTTTTCTTTCTTTTTTTTGGCCAATTTAAGTGTTTTATTATATAATTAATCAAAACAAAGATAACATTATTTAATTTAAATCCAAGAAAAGTGCCGTAAATTGCTTCCACATATTTTCAGTAAGCATCATGGGAAGTAGCGGCGTATTTGCAGATGTGCAGAACCGGATCGGGTAATGACAAGTTACCTTGGTTCCATCGTCATTGCATCCTGCTGTGACAGGTCAAAGGTCAATGCATTGCAACAATTATAAAAAAATAAGTACATATCTTTATTTCTAATGTTTGCTTGTGTTAGGGGACAACAGTAAAAAAAAAAAAAAAACACTCAATACAAACATTAATAAAATTACGAAAACTGATTTGTTTAACTAGATAAATTGAATAGTCAACAACTATATTACTTTCTGTCAAATTTGGGGTTTTGTTTCAAATAATCTTGTAAATAAACCATACAAGTGTCATGTATAATTATTTACTGTTTATTGAATATGATGTCAACATGTATAACATAGAGCTCATTACTTGCATAATTTCCCTTTTGAATTAGAAAATACAATACGCTTTTTGTTATAACGATAGTTCATCTGCTTGTTTAGAAGTTTTTTGTAACCCAAACATCTGGTCACTATGATAAATAATTACTACCTTATCGACATCCACAGAATCAATTTGTGTGGATGCATTTGTAACCTTCTTTTCCACTCACAGTAAGTCAATCATACTCTGACTAGTGCTGACTGTAAGTGACTCAGCGTTTTGTTTTGTCGGTTTTTCTGATAGTAGACATGCTATATATATATAATATATATATATATATATATATATATATATATATATAGAAGGATGTGTAGTTTGTATCCTGGAACATTGGGGTAACTCCCTCTTCCTGCGTCCGTCATATCTTTTTGCCGGCTAATTTTCATTATGCAAACCAGTTATGCAAATGTTCCAGTTCAACTTCTCGATCATATCTACAAATGACACCCACTCACTCAATCGTAACATCATCTAACCATATTACGAGTATATACTGTATATGTCAACAACTTTGGGATGGTTTCCCTTGATATTCTTTTACAGACATTCATGTCTTCCTCAGGATTACTTGAAATAACTTAAAGTGTGTCGTTAATTTGCATAATGGTTCATTCATTGTCTTTATGCCGTAATTTCTGCCTTAATTTTCCCTGGAGATCTTACCTGGTGGAAGACAGAATTGTATATACCAAAACAAGTATTTAATAAACCCATCTAAATGGATTTCCTATAGCAATGACAATGTGTGATTAACAATTTACTTCATCATGATTAGTCAAAGCAATGAAAAGTTTCTAATGCTAAAATTAGTCCTGCCTTTACCAGCTGCAACATCAAATTGAACACATTAATACATTATTATTTATAGTTTAACAACAAAATATACGTAATGTTGTGGAATGTGACATAACTTGCATAACAAGTACTTTTACTTGGAGTACTGTCTGTACATTTTTGATGATAATATCTGTTGTACCTTAGAAAGATTTGTAATGCAAGATTTTTTTCTTTTAAAAGAGTATTTTAACAATCTAGTGTTGCTACTTCTACTTAAGCATAAGATCTAAGTTCCACCACCCTGAAAGCACTTTGTTGTGTTGCTTGTTGAGTGCCTAACTTGACATTTTGTTCAACAGTTGGTTTATTGGAAGTTTACAGTTGACCACGATGGCTAGCGAAGGTCACATGACACATCCGGGCGCGCTCCCGTGGCGCAGCCCTGGACCAATGAACGCCCAGGCGGCATTGCTCTAGCATCGGTAGCGCGCTGCAGTGTTTATCGTACAAGTGGTGTGTGCTGCTCTCCGTCAGTTACCCGCTGTTTGAATGTGATGACACGGTGTCTGGACTCATCCCGTGCACTGTGACGGAGAATGGGCTTTTTTCTAAATGTTTGCGCTTTTTTTTACTAAAGCTAGAGGGATATTTAACGGACAGATTAGCTCCCTATTGTCCCTCGTTTTGACTGTACGAGGTGCTCGTGAAGTACTGACAGGCGGCTTTTTTGTGTGGCATGTGATAAGGACAAGAGATTGAGGCGTGTTCACGGATGTTACCGGGAAAAGGGGAGAAGAAGAGGCTTTCTTTTATTTCCCTGTTGCCTGTGGATGTGACTTTGTATCCGCCTGGGTTCAGCAGGACATGACGGAGCAGCGGATGGATTTTATGGGGCTCCTGCTAGCTGTTGAATGGCAGGATGAACAATGACTGTTGAGCTATAATAGTTTTTGTCTGGATGCTTTATGCGATTTTTTTTTATTTTAACGTGAAGGCAGTGAACGCATTTTATTTGTGTGAAGTGAGACCTAGCGTTGGTTAAACACAGCAAAGGGAGGATCATTTCAGGCGCGGCCAGGCAAGCCAACAATGCGGATTACCTCTTGACTGTTTGCCTTTGTGTCAATTCTCACTGTTTGTATAAAGTTTGAGATAACACTTAACAGGACGAACACCCGGTTCTTTTTGCTCTATTGTCTTGGAGACGAGACAATACGTTGACGCGAGGTATAAATCCCACATGTGCACAGGTTGTCTTTGAAACGGCAAACTGGCTGACAACAGAGCAACAGGGACAGCGATGGCGAACGACTCCATACAAGTAAGTTAAAGAGGAAGAGCTGTCCTGCAACCTGCTAGCATTGTGTAATTTAACATATTGACCTTCAAGCTTTTACATTTGGACGGGATCTTGGGTGGTCTTCTGACTCACTCCCCAAATAAATACTTTAAACCAGTGGTTCTTCACGTTTTTTGGGAGCTTGTGACCCCTTAAATTTAAGCCATGTCTTCTTTAGACCCCTAACACATGGTCTTGTGAGCAGTTTGACCAAAGATTGCATTTTTCCTCTAAGGATGCAACACAATTTAGTAGGCAGATGAGGTAAAATTATTATTAGAAAAATAAACTAAATGTAGCAGTAATGGCTATTTTTGCAATCCTTAGATTACTCTGGGGTCCTGACCCCAAAATTGGAAACAACTGGTTTACTTTTAAAGACATAAGAAAATATATTGAAACATAACTGTACAACAATGACATTAAGGTATAAAAAAAGCCAGATAGATTAACAGAGCGCTTGCTAGATGGGTTGATTATTCTCTATATGCATGGACGACTTGTTGAGGTCCTTTGGTGGCTCTCGGACCCCACCCTCAGGGATGACCATCCCATCAATTGAATTGGAAATGGATAGTGTGTGTTGTTAATAATGGATGATGGGGCACTCTGGTTTTGGAAAGGGCTCGTGCAGAGTGCTTCAGCAGTGTTCACTCACCTTGGTGTTGTACTGTGTACTCATGATGTGGGTATAACGTGAGCTTTGTGCCTTGAAAGTGTTGTGCGTGCAGGTACAGAGAGTAAAGAAAGGTGCGTGCAGGTACAGAGAGTAAAGAAAGGTGCGTGCAGGTACAGAGAGTAAAGAAAGGTGCATGCAGGCACAATAGTGGTGTTTGTGACAAAAACAACGCACATAACACACACCCTTCCCAAGTAGCATTAGGCTTTTCTCCTTCATTGAAAGCAATAGTAAGCAGGATGCTGCTGGCTTTGCATTGTATTAGAAATAGTTGTATGCTGAGGTAACACAATTTAACGTATGAAGCATGTAGGCAATATGTTATTAGATCATTGCTTTTCTGAGTCACTAAGCTTAAAGAGACACAATTACTACATTTATCTTGAAATGTTTACGACACAGCGCATAAAGGAAAAATAAGCATTATGAACATTTATACATACCACTGAACTTAGTCAGCCATTGTTCCATTACAGCTTGACACACTGACATTTAAGTCCTTGCAAGTGTCTTGTATCAGTTGACTTGACATGCAAGTGTGGTGTTTAGAAACACAGGTGCTGTCCTGCAGGTACGTGCCTCACCTGTTCTGCAATCACACATTTCTGTTGCGATTTAGTAACTGATGTAAGTCGGTTGTGAAGCAATGCGTTGAAACATGAGGCAAGTTAGCATTGATATACTGTAATTAGAAAAGGCTAAGTGAGAGACAGGTGCACATGAAAATGCAGAAGTGTGACAAAAGTGTGAATTGGTTTACTAAGAAAGTGCACATTAAAAAGTGCTGTTTGCAATGATAGTTGGCTGCAGATTTCCAGTTTACAACCAATGTTCCTCTTATTGTGTTTGTGTCGGTTTGTCATAAAATGCTGAATAAACACCTAACAGTTCTTGTTTGCCAACTTCCCTTTGATGAAGTATTTCACCCATATTTGACCTTTTTCCTCCATTGCTTTATAAACAGCAGGGCATTCTGTTTGTTAATGGATTATACTGTAGGTTACCGTCGCCCAGGAGGTTATGTTTTCTGATCTATTTGTTAGCGTGATTACGGAAAAACCTCTTGACCAATGGTCCAGTTTGAAATGTGACATCTTATAGCTGGAATAATCAGTCAGTTAAACTATTATTTGACCAAAAGAAAACTAATTGGCAGTTATTTAACAATTGATTGATAACACAAGAGGTTAATCCACCGGCTTACAAGTCATTTCTTAATCCTTAGTTGTAGCCTGATAACACTTATTGTATAGTCTCTGTACACATGGACATTGTCTCCACTTGCTCTTTTTTTTTTCTTTAATTACCTCAAGGAAGTCTTGAACTTTAGCATGTGTCAGTAGTGAAATGAGCCACAGTCTGTGTGTAATTATGCAGTTTGAGTGCAGCATGTTATCTGACTGCTTATAAAAGCTAAATACTGGCTTAGTTTCCCACTTCAACCAGGTTTAATTCTAGCTGTGGTGCCTTAATGTTACCAGGCTAGACAGCTTAGATACCAAACAGATGTAAACGTGCCTTCTCACTGGCTCTGTATCAGAAACCTTCGTATGGAAAACAACCAGAGTTGGAAAATCTGTGCCAAACAGATACAGATTCATTTGGCCTTGCCTCATTAGTGTCCATGGTCCAGTGACCAGTTTGGGACAAACATCATGGATTCAATTCACCAACCAATGAGGCTGGACAATGTTAACCTGCTCACATCATGAAACCAGCTGATTTTCACCACAGCCTAAAATAACTACTGGTATTGTCTTGGTCTTAAAACACTGCAGGGTTGCAATCACAAGCTAAGAAGCTAAGGAATGGTGCTGTTCCAGAGTGTTTCTGCCTACACTCATGGGGCTCAATAGTTGGTCAATGTGGGGAAGGAAATCATAGAAGGAAAGATGGAAATTGGACAAGTTTAAGTTCTCTTTTTGATCTTTGACTTTGAGAGAGAGGGTGCTTTGATTGGCTTCTGTTTTGATAACACTGGAAGTGGAAAGCATTATTCTCCTCTTTGTGCACAGAAACGTTCTGGCTAATCCAGAAACAAAAGGAAGGAATATGTTGTCACACCAACACAGTATTCATTAGAATTCTTTAAAGTTATGTTTTGATAGGAAGATAACCCTAGACTCAACAGGTGGATTCTGGGATGAGTTTTGATGTAAATATAGCTATGTGTGTTGGACATATTTGATCTCATAACAACTATTCAGACATCTGTTTTCCTCCTTTTTGAAGAGTTTAAAGACTACAGTATTAATGCTTTGTTAAGTGGGCTGTCAATAACTTTTTAAATAAGGATCAATATAAGGAAGATGACATTTGACCATTTGAGGCAATTTATCAGACTTTCAGCAACTTCCTCTAGACTCCAGAGCAACAAACGGCTTTATATATAGTTTTACACCTGTAAACAGGCGTTTATGTTCAGAGTCAGCGGAGTTCCCCTTTAAGCTTCCATTTTTGCCGATGTGATTGAAGCTCTGCACCCCTCCCATGGTGTGCCATTTGTTTGCCCCTGCAGGAAGACAATATCAAACAGCCCCAATACAGGCCCTTCTGCGTCACACTTCCTGATAAAGGTTAGAGGGGAGACAAGAATGGAATGGAGGAGGGGGGGGGGGGTTGCTGCTCTGTACAGTACACTGAGAGATCTGGGTGCTTTCTGCTTGTTTGACATGTTTGGCAGTCTGCATGTTCACTGGAAAATCCCAGACAACCAAGTGATTTCCCTAAATGTACATGAGCACAAATGTTCATGTTCACTACCACACACTCTGAAACACACAGATATAACAGCTGACACACACAACCAGAGTCAGACTCTCCAAGGAATGCATAGGAGTACTTCCCATAGGCCTTACCATGACGTAAGGAGACAGTTATGTGCACAAAGTAGGCTTTTCTCAGCGCTGCCCTGGGGCCATGTAGGCAGACAGAATCCACAATAATGCAGTAGTTGAGGAACTGGAAACTTGGAGAGAGGGATATTATTCTCTCTCATTGTATGTGAGGCGTTTCAAACTAATAAAACAATGTAGTCTAACAGGAGTCAGGACACTCATCATATGATCCAATCTCTTGCATGAATAAGGCTATATTAAGTCTTGTAACGCATGATCACAACCTCATTTTGGCTCTACTGACTGTCTGCTTTATGTTGTCTGACCCACAAGGACATTATAGCATTCGTAAAGCAGTTTCCAACACTGCATATAATGGATTGTTTAAGCCAATGAGCATAGAGGAATCAAAGAGAAAACTATCTATACCCGTGATTACCAGCAAAGTCGGCTTGTGGGATATGAAGAGATCACTGTTCAGCACGATAGTAGTTGGTCACGATAATGCCTCTCACGGATCCATGACAACTGATCAATATGCAATGTTTGTGATGCACTCTGCGCTATATTCAGTCCCTCTCTTTTCTCTTGCTTTCTCTATGCTATTCCAGTGTTTTAACATATAAAACGTAAAGTAATGCTAGCATAATGAACGCAGGTTCCCATGTAGACCTAGCTCTAGTAAGATAGATGTCTGCTCTTCTTGGAAACAATAATACAAATGCACCTAAATGGCTATTATTTGTTTTCAAACCAAATCAAATAGGAGAGCCAGAGATTTCTAAGCAGAGCGATTCAAAACTAAAGATGAAAGCGCCCCAAATCTCCATTCACATCTCAAAGTTATTCCTACAGTATATACACAAGACTGCCACCTGCTCCATTCACAAAGAGACTCCAGAAAAAACACTTAAGACCATGAGCAACCCTCAAACATCTGGCCTTGAATAAAGAGAGAATAATAGAGCAAAATCTTCAATAGGGACATTTCCTTTTCATCCAATTAAGTTAGCTGTTGAAACCAATTTGATGCTAAATATAGCCAAGATGGGCATTCTCTCACTTCTATCCACCCATTTGGAATCAAAAAGGCTCTCTACTGTAATAAGGATCCGTTGTATCCAAAATGTGGTGCACAGTTAGGCTTCTGTCCTCTGATGGGCTCTATTCAGTGTCTCAATATGGTGTTCACATTACAGAAGCTCATCTGTTTCTGTCAGTAGCTGTTTTCCAGTGCGGGGCTAAGATGTAGATGCTAACGGACAACTCAGTTCTTGTATTATGGATGTTTGCTTAGTTTAATTTCCCTTTCAGCTATACCCACATTCTGAGCTGAAGATGGTTTTAAAACAACATATCAAGATGCAAAATAAAAACCTTGTCCCGTGAACAATTATATATTCAAGAGGAAGTTTGCTGACAAGGCCTTTAGATGGCTACCCTCTCTTGTAGGCTAGCTATGTCAA